GTAGTGATATATAACATGTTCCTATACTGGTCCCTTTAAAAATTTACTACTTGTTTTTGAAGCATACATGTCTTGCAGCGTACATAATTTTTTCTTAAAAGCTTTTAGAAGTCTTAGTTGCATTTTAAAATGATAGCTATAGAGTCGGCAGGAATTTCTTTTTAAAAAAGAATGTAACGACTCATTTTAAAATTTAAAAATGTTTTGCTTTTCAACAACAGGGAAGTGTTTATTCGACTGCAACATGAAAATAAGATGCTTCGCTTACAGCAGGAAGGTACTGAGAATGAACGTATCGAAGAACTTCAGGAGCAGCTAGAACAGAAGCACCGCAAGATGAATGAGTTGGAAACTGAGCAAAGGTGATGTGTTTCTTTATAATTGAAAATCTTGGTGATTTAATTACCTAGCCACAAAATCTTGATTCACGGAAGTAGAAAATATTTTTGTATTTAAAGTAATCAGAAATATCTAGAAGTAGTTTGAATGTTTTGTTGTTGTTGCTAGCAGTCTCTTACCACTCTGTGAAAGAAGCTTCACTCTATGAAAGTAGTCAGTTGATTCATTTCAATCTTATTATAAAATGCATGGATGGCGCCATTCATTTTAGTGGAATTTTTTAGCAGACTTGGCTAACCAGGTCGCTTATTCTTGACTTTCATATAGATATCTTCACAATTAACAGAAAATTTAATACATGAGTAAATGACAGTTTGGATTTCTATTGTGGTCTGGTGCATAGATTGAACATAGATTGTGGAATCCAATATGAATCCCACTTCTGCTTCAACTTATTTACTGTTTGTTTCTGTGCAAGCCACTTAAACTCACACTCCATGTCTTCAGCTATAAATGCAGGTTTTTAAGAAGATCACGGATAATGTGCTTAGAGCAAATGGAGCACTTATCTGGTACCAATGAGGTGCTCAAAATTATAATAATAATACAAATATATAACATTTATATTGTGCTTATTATGTACCAGGTACTTTTCTAAGCATCTTTTTGGTATCAACTTAGTAAAGCCTCACAATAACTCTAGGAAATATTAACTATGATGATCTCTTTTCTATGGAAAAGGAAGCTGAGATATGGGAGGTTAAGTAACTTACCAGATGTTATGCAGCTAGTAAGTTTTGGATCCCACGTTTGAACTCTTTCAGTGTGATTTTTGAGTCTCTACTCTTAACCCCTGTGCTAACCTGCCTCTTATAAATGACACGTTTACTATAAGGGTATTTGAATTTATTTATCTCATCTTTATTGGATCTTTTGAGACCACCAGAGATTTTAGAGTCGCTTGAAGCTTGTCTTTCTCAAAATTGTATGTATCCTGTTACATCAACTATGGTTAAAAGAATAACATTTTAGGTTTCTGAAGAGACCATTAAATATTACTATCCTGTACAGTTCAGTACTAGTTGTTTGCAGTGGAGATACAAAGCTTCAATTTTTAGGGAATTAATAAAGGACAATAGACATGTGAATAGATAATTACTATATTATGTGATAACTGCAGCAGTGGAGTATTACAATAGCCAGGTGAGAATATTATACATGTGTACATGTTTATGTGTGTGTATATAGCTACAGAGAGAGAGAGGTGGGGGGAGAGGAGGAGAAGGAGAGGTACTAACTCTTGCTGGTAACTCAGGTGAGAATATTATACATGTGTACATGTTTATGTGTGTGTATATAGCTACAGAGAGAGAAAGGTGGGGGGAGAGGAGGAGAAGGAGAGGTACTAACTCTTGCTGGTAACTTCCAGTGGAGTTAACTCTTAAACAGAGTTTTAAAGAATGGGATTTTGCCAAGTTAAAATCTGCACTAGTTGCTAGTGCCAGTCTCTTTAACTTAAATAAAAAGCCATGATGAAATGGGTGGAAAATGGAGACCTTCCTCTTTTCCCAATACACTGTGAAATCTGAAACAGAAAAGAGAAACCTAGTTCCCATTCATTAAAAATACAACTGCGGGGAGATTGAGCTGGTTTTCTCATTTTTCTACCAGCGAGTACAGTACAGAAATGTTATGTTTTCACCACTAAAATGTTAAGTGCCTTTAAATTTTAAATGTAAGCATATATACTTTCAGGGAAAAAAATCTTTTTAAAAGTATTCCTTAGAAGTAGCCTACTGTACTATTATACTAGTCACAGATAATTGTTCTGTATTTGTTATTGCTACCAAATGTATCTTTTTGAGTAAAATTACATGAATGCACCTTTACAGATCTTTAACTGCTTTGACTTTCAATAGAAATAAATAAATACTTTCATCTCACAATAGGCTGAGCAAAGAGCGCATCCGAGAATTGCAGCAGCAGATTGAGGACCTCCAGAAGTCTTTACAGGAACAAGACTCCAAGTCTGAAGGCGAAAGCGTAAGTAACTTAGAAATTATAATAATTCTACTGTGTATGGATTCTCTTAAATAGCATCGATGCCTAAATATTGTATTTGAAGGTGCTACCCTTGTCATTGAGGGTACCCTTAAATACCGTATATATCTGCATAACAGATGCAGTGATTTTGCCAACTTGGAGCCTTTATATCGACCATATATGTTGTAACGTGATTTCTATCTGTCCTACTTCAACAACTACACCTAAGTTCATGATAATTCTTGACTGAGAGCAAGTGACAATTGAGGCCTTCGCAATGCTGCTGGAATTCCACAGGGCTAGCCTGGGAATATTCCAGGAGAGAATAATCAGCAGTCAGCCTTGAGGAAACATTCTAATAGGAAAATAGAGAATGAGAAAATAATTTCTACCAAAAGAGCATTCAAGAAATGGATCATACCAACCTCTGAAGGACAGAAACTTCAATGTGTCTTAGAGACTTTACCCTGTATTTCTTCCCTCCTTCCACACTGACTCATGTCCTTGCCATTTGCTAATAGTTTTTTATGGCAGGTATTGTGAGGTAAGAGATAAAAGGACTTAAAAGAGATCTGAATCTACCTAGCAATTTTTCTGTAGTTTGATCTCTGTGTGTGGAGAGGAAAAGAAATAGTGATTGGAAGAGGGATGTATTTAATTTAAAAAACAACTATGGCAGGTATTGTGAGGTAAGAGATAAAAGGACTTAAAAGAGATCTGAATCTACCTAGCAGTTTTTCTGTAGTTTGATCTCTATGTGTGGAGAGGAAAAGAAATAGTGATTGGAAGAGGGATGTATTTAATTTAAAAAACAACAAAAAGGTACGGCTATAGACGAGTGTTAGAGAGATATTGATTGATGATTGAGATTAGGGAGAATGTTAGGTAATTATCCCTGTGTTGATGAGGGAGGAAACTCTGCAGAGTAAGTAAAGAGATGAAAAGGAAGATTGAAAAGGTTGTGTTTCCTTTCTATCTTTTATATGCTTTATATGATCTTTTCTTTTTTCCCTGGGGGCTTGGAAAATAGAAATCGTCTCATGCATGGCGGCATCTCATATGTGCATATATACGGTATTGTAACCTCTCTAATACAAATATTTTTTTAAGTCACTTTAGGGAATACTTTGGGATCTATTTGTGGGAGTATATTTTGGATTGCAATGTTTTAAAGGTTTTAAATTTCTTTTTATTTTTTATTTTGAATCTATTAGTGTCCAAATTATATTTCAGATTATGTATTTTAAATTCTCAGCAATTCAGTAGATGCAGAACTGCTATTGCAATTTAAACTCCTGTTTTTTAAAAGAAGAAATTTTATTTTTTAAATTTTCTTTTAACAAAATCTAGTTGCTTCATTTTGGAGTTAATATTATAGATGTTGCATTTATAATGATAAAGTTTTATTATAGAGATTATTTTAGTTCTTTAAGTCTATACCTCATCAAAGGCCTAAAATCTTAAAATTCGTATTTTGAATAAAATGATTATTTAGATGTTTAAATGTTTGATACTCCTCAATATATCACATTCAGCTTGCATTTGCTATTTTTCTTCAAGACTAAATTTAATTTTCATTATATTTGGAAATATGAGTTATTTTTCTTTCTGCTGTTGTAGTCTTCCTTATTTCATTTTCTATTCTCCTTTCTTTTCCCATTTGAAGTAAAAAAAAAATAGCTAAAATTTTGTTCTTTTATGGGCCCAGTATGCTTCTGCTGTATGACTCTGCTAATTTAAAATTTTAAGCTTTTAACAGTATGGTATTAGAAACACAGATTTTAAAGACATTTATAATTTTACATAGTACATCTTCCAAAGGAGGTAAAGAGATTTAGATGTCTGGAAAATTTACCTTTGTCAATACAGTCATCTTACAGCAACTTTTTTTAATTTTATAGTCCAGCAAATTAAAGCAGAAGTTGGAAGCTCATATGTAAGTAAATCTGATATTTCATTTCAAGTATGAGAGGGGAAGGGTTGTAAAAGCTTCTAAAATTAATTACCTTTTCTGACTTTGTTTATAAAAGCAAATACCCTGATGCTAGTGAATATTCACCACTGCCACCAAAAAGTGAAAAGAAAAACATGCTAAATGTTCAGCCTGTCTGCCAGCCATCCCAGACTCCTACATTTCTCAGTTGCTAATGATATCATTTGAAGAGTTTAATGAAGCAGACAACTATCATAACTAGATTATGTGGGATATTAAACCTATAAAATATTTCTTTTTAGTTTCGTAAGAAGTGAGAGTGGTGAGGGAAACAGTTTAACATTTTTGGCACCCACCACGTGCCAGGCAGTTCACATGCTCATAACAACCCCTATGTTTAGGCAGGTATTGTTCTCATTTCACAGATGAGGAAGCTAGGGATCAGAAAGGGACTTGCCCAAAATTCACAAATGTTATATGTCAGGGACCAGTTACCCCTTTTAGGTCTGTTTGACTCCAAGCTCCACCATGCTCTTTCCACTACTTAGGGAAAAACTAACAGAGGTCCATGAAGAATTACAGAAGAAACAAGAGCTCATTGAAGATCTTCAGCCAGATATAAATCAAAATGGTAGGTATTTATAAAAACTTGGATCAGACTATATCTAAGGACTTGCCCTTTTTAGTTGAAGGATGTAAGAACTATGTATAAGTGCAGAGTGGGTAGATACATACATTGCAAATAAGAACATGATAATTTTTAGTGGTGAAGTCATTAATAAATGGTCTAATCTTAAAGCAAAAAAGTGTAAATTAAGTGAACTGATTGATATATAGGAGTATCAAACATTGTAAAATATAATAGAATTAATACTATGGAAATGTGCTAAAGTAGGTAAGAATAAAATAATTATCTCAAATCATATTAAAATGTACTTCAAAACGTTATGTAGAAATAATGCTTTAATTTCTATTGTGGTTATGCTTACATTGTAAGGTATATTTGCTTATTGAAATACTTGATAGAAAGGAGAAAAATATCTAGATAAAGCAGATTATAGATTTTTTTAAATAGACAAAAAATGATTAACAATGTATATTGATTGTAGTTCGAAAGTTTTAGATAAGAATTCATTACAAAGAATAAATAAAACGATTTTCTTTTAAGCTGTCATCAGTCTTTAGAAAATGAATTTGATAAATCTAACTTCCTGTGAGGATGGAGTATTTTAAATAGGCAGTAATTCGTCATGTTTATTTTATTTTCACTAATAGCACAAAAGATCAGTGAACTTGAAGCTGCTCTTCAGAAGAAAGATGAAGATATGAAAGCGATGGAGGAAAGATATAAAATGTACTTAGAGAAAGCTCGAAATGTGAGTGTCTTATCTTCCTGAGCTCAAGCCTTTGTGGACGGTGTTCTCATTAGGCCTGTATCACGTGATTGTACTGCTATTTTTGTATCTATATTCAGTCACTTTGCTCGTGACCGTCTTGCTTTGTCTGTCAGGTTACTGGACAGTCTCCACACTATTCCTTATATTCTCAGTCTCCCTCATCAGTGTCAGATGAAATAAACACATAGCTTATAGGGACAGTTTAAACATTGACTGTAGTATCTTCAGTAGGAAAGTGACTGCTATAATTTATGCAATCTTCATCTCTTAGCAAAATGGGCCTATAATTTTTATTTTCTAGAATCTTAGTAGATTTGCTAAGAATAAGTTTTGCTAGAATCTTAGCAAAATGAACATTTTACATTTTCTGAAAATTTAGTTTTTTAAACTTGTTTAAAATTGTCTTAGCATTATAGTTAAACATTATTCTGACTACATTCTTTTTTCTTATTTTATACTTTTTCTTAAATATCTGTGAGTACTGTTTTCATCTTTTATTTCCATGACTACCATATATAAATGTTCTCTCTCAGAGAATGTTAATGTACTCTTTTCTATTTACTGAATGAAAGAAGAGAATTTTACAGTGAAGCTTTAAAACACTGACTGCCTTTTTTATATTTAAATTTCATCTGATATTTACTAATTAAGTCATAAACAGTATCTGCAGAAACAGATGAACCCCAAAATCTCATGTCCTAACAAGTTTTCTTCTTGATCACATTCAGCCCAATCATGAGTGGGAAAGGAGCTCTGCTCCATGCAGTCATTCAGAGTCTCAAGCTGATAGAGGCTCTGTCCTCTTCAACATAAGAGTCTCAGGTTCACTTGACACTGTCCAGTTAGTAGATGAGGAAAGATGGCAGATTGCATAGAAGACATGTAGTGGATTAGGCCTGGAAAAGGCATAAATCACTCCCATTTCAGTGGCAGAACTCAGGCAAGTGGCCACACCCAACTTCTGAGGAGGAAGGAAAGGGACATAGATGTGGAAAGAATAAGCTTAGTAAGGAAAGGTAAAATAGATTTAGAAGGAAAGGGAAATAGGCTGGGTAAAAATGCAGTGAGTCTGTGCCACAGTTAAGTTTCTTCCAGTTAAAACAGTATAAATGCTTATAGTAGAAAATATAAATATAGAAAGGTTCCCAGAAACAAGTGCATTAACATTTTGGTGAATTTTCTTAACAAGGCATCTTTTTATGCATATTTTCTCCATGATTAGTTATCATAACACACACACAATATATTGTATTTTAAACTTAAAGTAATCATCATTTCCTCATGTTGTAGAACTATAATTTAATATTTATTGAGCACCTACTATGCTAAGTACTGGGAATATAGCAATGAACAAGATGGACACTACACTTAAGGAGCAGACTGCAAAAGTAAAATATACCTACATAATATTCACTTGTGTGGGGTGTATCATAGTTTACTTAATCATTATCCTTTTGTTGAAAATAGTTTGTTTCCAATTTCTTTTCTTTTTTTGCTCCCAGAAATATGACTGTAGGCAATGTATTTATACAGAAATCTTTCCCCTTATTTTGGTGTATTATCTTAACCTTGTTCCCTAGAAATGGAATTACTGGGTCAAAGGATAAGACCATTTTAATAAAACACTTGGTATGTATTTCTAAATAACATTCTAAAAGGATGATAACTAATGGGACAAAGCAAGAACAATGAATACCATATTCTCACCATCATTGACTATTATCGTTTAAAAGACAGTTGCTTGCTATGATAAACATGATTTCTTTGTTTTTCTCCTAACATTATGCAGTGAGGGAGTGGGGTGGGAGGGGGAGGGTAAAACAGTGGTTGAAACACTGGTTGAAATAACAGCATTGTATGTCCATTGTAGAAAAGTCAGAAAATATGAAAAAGTTACAGCCATGGCTTCTATCACTTAGAGATAATAAATTATAATTTATTCTCTGGAATTAAATTATAATTTAAATTCTTTAATGTGTTCTGCTCTTATGATGTGAACTCCATGAGGGCAGGTGCCATGTCTCTCATAAATTGCTGAGTCCCGTTTGCCACAGTGTCTGCCACATAGCTGACACTCAGTAAATGGTTTTTAAATAAATGAATGAACCACAGTAATTTTATATATTACCTCCTAGTCTTTTTTGTTTACCCCATAAGTATAAATGACATTTTCCTAAGCACGTGTTCCTATTATTGGAAATTTGTAGTTTTTGCTTATAATTTATATCTGACATTTCCGAACTGGTTTCCTAACAGAATACTATCTACATAGTTTAACTCAGTCTCTTTACTACACTGTGATCAAACAACTCTTTTTTACCCAACTTCTAGTAATTTACATAAATGTGATTGAGCCACTCTACCATTTGCAGATAAAATTGGCAGCATCTATTATATGGATTTTATGTACTGAATTACATCTGACTGGATAATGACAGTAAAAAAGATTATTGCCAAGAATTTATTTTTTGTGTATTACTCTTACTTTGTAAAATTAGCAAGTTCCCCCAGAGTTACTGAATTTATTTTTTTTAATTTATTTTTTAATTCTCAGGTTATATAAATGTGGAAAGGATTATTTCAAGACCTCGGTGCCCAAAGCTTGAGCACTACTGAATTACATCTGACTGGATAATGACAGTAAAAAAGATTATTGCCAAGAATTTATTTTTTTGTGTATTACTCTTACTTTGTAAAATTAGCAAGTTCCCCCAGAGTTACTGAATTTATTTTTTTTAATTTATTTTTTTTAATTTATTTTTTAATTCTCAGATTATATAAATGTGGAAAGGATTATTTCAAGACCTCGGTGCCCAAAGCTTGAGCACCGAAAAGGCTAAATAACTCTCTGAGTACTGAGACTTAGAGAAGGGAAATTTGATTTTGGGATGGGGATCTTCCCATCTTCTTACTGAATTTTTATACCATTTCTTGTCTGTAGAATAAGTTATTTTTGTTATTCCAATTAGATTGAAAATCAAGCTGCAGTTAGCTTCTGGATCATTTTGTGGATAATTTTCTACTTTACTTACTCAGCTTTTATAGAATATGTTCTTATGTTTTCCATACTTTGAAAGATAAAGTGAACATAAATATTTTTTCTTTAAACAGGTAATAAAAACATTAGATCCCAAATTAAATCCAGCATCAGCTGAAATAATGCTACTTAGAAAGCAGTTGGCAGAGAAAGAGAGAAGAATTGAGATTCTGGAGGTAAAACTTCCATATTATTTCCTCTTAATTATTCTGTGGAATTCTGGTAATTAATTGCTGTCATGTATTTGCTATTAATGATCAAGTTAGAAATGTCATGTTTTAGCACTCAGTATGTTTATTACAAAGCATTTCACCAGCCAACTAGATTGGTCTCTGTACCGTTTATATACCCTGTTTATAGGCTGCATTGTATCTCTCTCCCTCTCTAATAGCTGATCATATGGATATTCTTGCTTTCTAATAGAGTCCTGCTATGTAATGTGCCTCTTAAAATTATGCAGATCTGATTTCATTCAGAAAAAAAAAAAAAAAAAAAAAAAAATCTGAGCTTACCTTTTAGTAAAGGTACTGTGTTCACTAAATTAACCAGACTTCTTATCTTCCTATTTCTCACTGCACCTAAACAAACTTAGTTGGAATTTCTGGGAGAAGGAAGTACTCACAGAATCCCAGTAAACCCCTGAGCTAAAATAGTAATTTTGGTTTTTAACCATGCATAGTTATAGTAGTAGTGGCTTGCTCTCATCAGTTAGCTGAATCTTTAAATTTTAGAGGTATGTTTTGTACTAATGGTCATATCATTGTTGTGAGCTCAGGTAAGTATGTCAGTGTGGAATTGTGTATTCTTAGCATGTTCTAGTTTCTTTCACAAAGTGTTTTAGAAAACTGCTATTTTCAATATTGTGATGAGATTTGATGCTATTCTTCAAGTCAGTATATACTTCCCTTTAATAACATAAGCATAATTGCAGAGCCATGTTGGGTTTTACACAGTGGCTTTAAAATTCTCATAAATGATAGTTGGTTTCTTTCTGAATTAAACAGGAATGTTATATCTCATAGAAACACTTTCTACTCTTATATCTTTTTCTTGGTATTATTTCTGAGCAAGTAGGTATGGATGGATGGGGGTGGAAATATTTTTGTTTAAAGACTTTAACACCCTCTCCTCCCTATGTCCAGAGTACACAGCACCTTGATGTGTGCTTGCTATTGGTGCTTGTTCATGTCATGTGTTGTAAAAAGTACTGGGTAGGGATATCTGTCTGAAGAGATGCTGTTTTTCCAGATCCAACTCAAATGTCTCTTTCTCTATAAAACTTTCCCTTTATTCCATAGTCAAAGGTAGTTATCTCTCTATAGTGAGTCCGTGTAGTTTGAACTCATGAATTCATCCCACAACAGCATTGGTTTTCTTTTTGGCGTATGTCAGGGTGTTTTGAAGGCCATATCTTATGTCACCTTACCCCCAGCATTAAATCTTACATAAACCAGAGGGCAGAATTACAGCTTTATTGGTAACTTCTTAAAGTTGTCACCTCTCCTCACTGGTCCTCAATCTCCTCATCTCTAAAATAATGAAATTTGGACTAAGTAATCTCTGAAATCTAAGTTGCTCTGTTTACTTCTTAGTGAGAGACAGTGAGAACATACACCATTGTTGATGTTTGAAATGTTGATCCCCAACAAGTACGATGACCAAATCATGCCTCTAACTGTAGGGCTCTGAAGAAAAACTTAAGTCACAGCATGTGGTGTTTATTCTGTGTGTATTCATCTATACACACACTGCAGAAAGGAAGAGGGAGAAATGCAATGTAAATAGCAGAGGCTATTCTGTCTGTCTTCCCTCCCTCTTTGGGGCTTCTTTCCTATATGCTTGTGTGTCACGAGCATCTTGCTGAATAAGGATTCAACTGTTTCAAGGGTATAATTTTTTATATGATCCAACTATATCTGGTGCTCAACAGAATGGCAAAATTAGAGTATTAATCATTCCGTATTAAAGAAAAGAATGTTGATATCTATGGTGGCATGTAAATATGACCACAGGGAATCTAGAATTCAGGCCACCAAGAATTGAGAGAGAAGAATTTGTGCTAAGCTTAACAGGTGATTTTAAAGGATTTTCCTGGTATTTTTGACTACATCCTCCTGCTCTTTAGTTTTGACTCCTGCATAGGTGTAACTCTAGTTTATTTCCTAAGCCAGTTGTTACTTCTCTAGATATGGGGGCAGTAGCATGAGAATCACTAGATTTATGTGGGAGCGTGTGTTTAAATCACTCTGTTCTATCAGTAAAATTCCTGAAATAGATTTACTAGTCACAAATCTTATTCTTTCCTAAAGGTGTTGTGCATGCATTTCTACATGGTTCATTTTACATTTTGACTACTTAATTTGCCTCACAAATGCATTTTTCAGATTTTCTCAACAGTGAGCCTAGTGAAGAAATGATTCTATTTTAGTAATTTGGGGTAATTTCTGGGATTTTAATTGTCTTCATATCTTTTTTCAGAGTGAATGTAAAGTAGCAAAATTCCGTGATTATGAAGAAAAACTCATTGTGTCTGCCTGGTATAATAAGGTGAGTTGAAATTAAGCTAATGACTGGATGTTTATAAAAGTGTTTATCAAACTTTTTTGAGCAGGTACAACAAAAGGAAATGTTGTATACCATAAACCAGGACATAACATGTTTACATATATAACTGAAACAAAAGCTACCTTTATGAAATGATGGTAGTAATCCACTAAATTGATTTTATGATTCAACCTTTAGATGATACACATGAAAGCGTAGGCATAAAAATTCATAAATATTTTTTAAAGTGCCTCATTTAATTTGTGCTTCTAAAGGGTTTCTGAAGAAATGTAAATATCTCTGTAATGTAAAGTTAAACACTTCTAGTACCTCATATTTATTTTAACATCCTCTAAAGCCTCTCAGTGTGTCCTTTACTCTATTTGTTCTTTATCCAGGGAATATTCTTCAATAATAGTCTTTATCTGTCCTTCTAAGGAGAAAATAGCATAATAGTAATTTGAAACGTGTTTTATTCTGTCATGCTTAGTATCAGTGAGATGTTTTCAAGAGTAGCATTTCATGATATTTATGGTACTTTTGGTTATTCTCATCGGCTGGAATAAATAATAATTTAGCCATTATCTACCACTATCTGTTCTTACTTAAAATGAGGGAAAACTGAGTGACAGCCTCCCTGCATGTGCGTGCTATGCTTCACCGTGTGGCACTAGTCGTCCCTGCTCAGACGTGCCTCCTGCCTCCAGGCCACCATACTTTTTGTCTGTGCTCCTTTCCTCCTTTCTCTATTTGGTAAAATCTGGCTTAATTTAGCACAGCCTTGAAGGAAACTGTGTGAGGTATTCCTGGAACCTTCCCTCATGAGTTGGTCATATTACTTGAGATCAGAGACTGTATTATTTTCTTTGTTCCTCTGTGGCCTTTGACACATAAATCAGTGAAGATGTTAGAGCCAAATAATACATTATTCATTTTTCAATCTGTATTTGTTGAGCACCTACTATATTCCATGCACTATACTAGTTACTAGTTATGCTAAATTTACTAAAATTGTGCTGTTATGTGGTCTAGTGAGAGAGTAATAACTTTCCTTATAAGAAACCCAACAGCCAAAATTACGGTAATTTGTCATGTACATATCAAAATATAGATAGTAAGTTCAGACTACACTGCTGGTTCTCAAATGTTAGCATGCATCGGAAGACTTGTTAAAACACAAACTGCTGGATTCACCTGCAGAGTTTCTGATTCAGTAGGTCTGGTAAGACCCCCAAATTTGCATTTTTAACAAATTTCCAGTGATGTTAATCTTGTTAATCCAGGCACCATACTTCAAGAACCATTGATCTGAGCTCTTCTTTTGTGTTGTGTCTGCTCATAGCTGGTGGAGTGATGGCCCAAACACAAAAGTTTGCCTTGGAACTTTCATCTATTGTTATAATTAAGCCTAATTCCAGCATATTATTTTAAGAACAGTAGTTCTTAATGATTTCGTGTTTAGTGGATTGAAATAAAGAAACTGGGTTTTCTGCCTTCTTACTAGCATTATCACGTGCAGATTAATCAGCTTCTGAATGCTTATCTTCTTCTATAAAAATGAGGAAAACCTCAGCTTTATATAAAAGATTGTTTTGAGGGTTAGATGGCTTTATATATGTGAAAAGCACTTGTGAACTCTAAATATTTAGTCATGTTTTTTATATATTTTTTTTGTTCAGAGCCTAGCATTCCAGAAACTGGGGATGGAATCTAGACTTGTGAGCGGCAGTGGTGCTTGCAAAGACGCTGGTGCATGTACTCCTGCACGGTCTTTCTTAGCACAGCAACGGCACATCACCAACACCAGAAGAAATCTCTCTGTTAAAGTTCCTGCTACAACATCTGATTAAACTGCAAAAGAAAACATAAACAGAAGTGTCCTTAAAATATTTTATAACTTTCAACTAACTACCAGATTGAAAAAGAAGTTTATGATGCTGACTATCAGCTATTTTAAAATCAAAATGCATCAAATTAATTTTGCCAGCTGACTTTGAAAACAAAGTATAGAATTAGCTCTCTCTCTGGGAGAGCACATTTGAATAATTGGAAGACGTAATTAGGCACACATCTCAAGCAAACATTTGTCTTTTGAGAGTATTATAATTTCAAATGGACATTAAATGTTTTCAGTTGTACCAGTAACTTGAAATATGTAACCAGTAATATGTAATTTTAAAATGTTTCTAGATTTGGTGGTTTTTTTTTTTTTTTTTTTTGGTCCTTATGAAAATAGTCTTAGGGTAGGCACATAGAGTACTATACAAGGATGATTGATTTGATACATGCAGGGTTTTACATCTGTCCTCTAATTCTGTCACTGAATGCGTATATTTTGTCATGTCATGGAAGATATAACACCTGGAAGATTTAACTATTGGAATGACTGCAATAGTAAAAGTGACTAGTTGGAAATTTTGTAGATTCTGTAGAGGTAATAGTTCTCATATGTACCTACTATAAAACAAGGGCTTCTGGACAGCATGGTTGAAATGTTAAGGGTGGGAAGTAAACTGACATTTGTGAGAGGTGACTTTCTGATAGAAAGCAAGCTAAAAATATATACTTTGTGTGAAATGTCCACATACTCTTTAATGTAATTAATGAGGATCAATGATTGATTTTAAGCATAAAATTGTCATGGCTTCTACTAAAAAAAGATGCATCACTGTATAATAGTTTTGCCTCTTCACTGAAAAGAGATGTTGCAGTGATGACACAACATGGGATCAGTTTGATTTTGTTTACTGAGAAAGGAGTTTGTCTTATGTTGGATTTGTAGTGTTCAGTTCATTTCTGCCCAAAGTATTTATTTTCAAAGGTGTTGCTTTCTATTTCTGAGGGTCATTTTTAAAAGTCACCACTTTGAAATTTTGTTGTTGTGCTACATCTGTGCCGTCCAATATTGTAGCCATAAGACACATGTGGCAGTATAAATTAAATTAATTAGAACTAAAAATTTTGTTTCTTGGTTGCACCAGCCACATTTCAGATGCTTGGTAGCCATATGTGGCTAGCGGCTACTGTATTGGACAGTGCAGATATAGAATACGGTCATGCATTGCTTAACAACAGGGACACATTCTGAGAAATGCATCATTAGGTTATTTCGTCGTTGTGCAAATGTCACAGAGTATACTGACACAAACCTAGATGATATAACCTACTGTACACCTAGGCTATATGGTATAGCCTGTTGCTCCTAGCCAGCCTCACTACAAACACACGAGTAATGTCTTGCACTACGACCTTACAACAGCTGTGATGTCACTAGGCAATACAAATTTTTCACCTCCATTATAATCTATGGGCCCACCATCGTATATGTGATCTGTCATTGACTGAAAGGTTGTTATGTGGTTCATGATTATATTTCCATCATTGCAGAAAGTTGTATTGGGCAGTGCCATACTAAATCTTCTTACTTGGAATATTCTTTGATATTAGAACACAAAAATAAAAAGATGTTAGAACTATTTCACATATAAAAAGGAATTCAATTTTGACATAAACATCTTCATTCCATATAGTTGAATACCTTATGTTGTGTCAACCATAGTCAATTTTTTCAGTGCTGTTCAACAAATACATACCTGTCAGCAGTATGTCTAGACCAGGGTCAGCAAACTTTCTGTGAAAGGACAGATAGTGAATATTTTGGTAATATTTTAGAGTTTCCAGGCTACGTGATCTCTGATACAGAGTACTCCACTCTGCCATTGTAGTATGAAAGCAGTCATATACAATGTGTAAACAAAATGGGTGTGGCTATGTTTAAATAAAACGTCATTTTATTTAAGGTGGTAGGCCAGATTTGGCTTGCAGACCAGATTTGCGGTCTAGATTTTATTCTTAGCCTTTCTTTGCAAATATGAGTATTGTTCCATTTACAGTATTATTCGTTTAGATGCCTGGTTTTGGGATTCTAGCCCAGCAATTATTTTTAATCACTGAAAATACAAGAATTTCTTACTGCATTTGGTTCTCTGAGATTAGGGAGCATCTGTCAGGATATTTTGTTTTATCAGGGTTACTTCTGTTGACTACCTCTTAGATTTTGATGGTTTTTACTGTTGCAATTATATTGTTGGTTCACGTTTTCATATATTCTTGTAGTGTCTGCTTGCCTATGTCCTCTGGTGAAATGAAATAAGCCTTTGAAAATATTTTAGCATGCTATTTAAAGTTTTCTAAATGTTACGGTATTTTGGTCAATGAAAACATCTGCCCCTTTGGTGTTTCTACATTCTTATAATTGAGATTTTACAAGCTCTTCAAGCTCCCTTTTAATGGAATTTATTGTAAAACACAAATTTCAATAAATTAGTGTTCTCGCAATTCAATTGCTTATAAATTTTTAATTATTATATTTGGAATTTCTAAATAATTCAATTTCTAAATAAAAATATAAGCCTTTTTTTCTTAATAGAGAAAAAGCAAATTTTCTGATTTATCATTTTTCTAGTTGAAGAAGTAGAATTTTAAATATTTGATATATAACTATTTATACAAGTCTAATATAATTTAAAGTTCTGTATTATTGTGATTAATTATATAGAAATTCAGGAACTGATCAGAAGTGAGATTCTTTTCCACATCTGGTTAATGTAAGTGAGATTAACACCCTGTGGGTGGTAAAGAATTATAAATATTTCATCATGAACTATGATTTATACACATTTTATGAGGGAGGCTTGAATGCATATACCATGGAAGAGATATTCAGCATTTATCTATTTGATAAGGAATTGAATGTCACAGTGACTATAAAGGAAACCACAGACTAATTTGGAAATGATCTTTAACTTTGAGCATTCACTCTAAGATTAATATTCCTTTCTCTTTTTAAAATAGTGTGTACATATGACAGTGATATTTATCCTGAGATTAACTTAAGGTATTAAGAAATATTTGAAGTTTACTCTATTTTTTCAATGAGTAAGGCTGTCTAATGATTTAGTATAGATTAAGAATTAATGTCTAGAAATATTACACTGAGTATCACTCACTGAAGGTCATCATCTTTGGTAAATGGAGTGCTAATTTGAATGTTAGATAATACTTCCACATCCACACCTGTTTTTTCTGGAGGGGCATGGGGGTGGGGAGGGTTGTTAGGCCATAGTACTGTCTGTGTTAGGTTTTCTATATGTATATTTAATGAGAAACATCCCTATGTAAAAATGTGTGCATATGGTTGTATGCATACATTCTTATTGTGAATCTGTACATTGCGAAGTAGTAGTTTGGAAATTTGTAAAGCACAAACCATAAAAGAAAATAGTGTGCAGTTATTAAACTTGATGTAGCTTAAATGTAATGTTTAGTTTATAAGAGGTCCTTTCTATTTTCTATGGCAAAGACTTTGACACTTGAAAAATAGAAGCAATATTTGATTTATTTTTGTAAGTATTTAGGATATTATTTTAAATAAATGATTGTCCAATACAATATAATAGTTGTGAGATGTTTTAAGTAAATAAGCTTTCTGCTTCTGTGTCTGTAGGTTATGACAGATTTTTAGTGGGCACATATGCACATTTCTTTGCTGCTTTAAATAAAGGACTGAAAATATTTAGATTGGTAAAGAAAAAATAATTGCATTAATTCTTCTAATTTTGTTTTTCCTTTAAATTTTTTGTGAATGAAAAGATGTATAAAAGTAATTTGGGGGTGTGTTCTTTTATGTCTCCAGTTTCACTCCTGGAATGTAAAACATCTTGCATTCATGTGGAATCCAGAACATTTTAGGGTGATTTAATTTCAGAAACTGCTACTTATCTCTCAATATTCATTCTCCTCTTCTTCCTTTAGTAATAGAACCCCACATTTTAGCTTGTTACATTATAATTCAGGGAGAAAATAACCCAAACTGTACTTCCCAGTACTTCCCTGTAGCTAGGTGGGGCCATGTAACTAAGCTCTGGCTAGTATGATATGAATGGTAGTGATAGGTGCAGAGTGAACAATGGGCGTGCCCTCCCTAGTTCTTTTCCCCTCACCATCTAGAATGCCATGTGTCTGAAGCAACCCTCAGGGACAGCTGAACAATGATGAATGTGAAACTTGGGTCCCTGAAGTCACCATTTAGCAAAAGCAACTGTAGACTTCCAGCCCGAGTTTCTCTGTTTAAGCTGTTTTGTAAAGCTATTTTATTCGGGGGTGTCTTTCTTCTAGCGTCCTAACTTATTTTCCAATCTACATGGATTTGTCAAAGTGAGTTGTGAAATAGATTTTTAGGAAGGTGCAGGTATTCCGTGTTCTTAGAGCATGTTTTGGAAAGGTTTCTTTTGGTGTTAATGGGTGCTCAATAAATACTGTTTAATGGTCATATGAATGAGGTTAATGTGCCAGATATGCAAGGATGGAGACAGAAGTGAAGTCCTGTCCCACTTTAGGTTTATCCCCGTGATCCCTGAAGACCATGATTCTAGAAGTTTAACTTTCTGAACTGTACAATAATTGCTGCCCCAACTAACATCACTTTATTTTGTGACTAGTTCACTAAGTGATTAAAGGTTCTAAACATGCCCCAACCAGTATGGTAGCTGCCAGCCACATGGGATATTTAACATAAATTTTAATTAAAATTAAATTGTGTTCCCTGAGACACTGTAGCCACATTTGAAAAGCTCTGTAGCCACACATGGCTAGTGGCTACAGTATTGTACAATGCAGACACAGAACATTTCTATCACCACAAAAAAGTCTATTGAATAGCTCTGTTCTAGGTGTCTAGCTTGAGAATGTACACATTCCAGGAGACATGGGATCATAGAATGTAGTGAAGTGAAACTTTCAGACATCACACTGGCACACTGTCATGCTTAGGAATAGAGCTGCAGTTGGATTCTTAAGC